CTCCAGTACTGTTTACTTGAGTTTGCTTTGTATTTTGAAGATCAGATTTCCACTAATCAGATTTGCCTAGAAATTATAGCCCTAAAGAATTTCTAAAGATGAAGACATTTCTTTTTAGAATGAGTCAATGGTTCACTTTTGAAACTTCAGAACTGAAATCTATATTCTAATGGCAAGTGGAAAACAATTTCAAATGCCCAGTGGGTATCCACAGCTATTGGGGAAGTAGTGACCAAGTGGCTTGATGTGGGTTGGAAATTAAAACACAAACAGTATCTGAGGCAAGATTGGAAGTCTGATATATTTTCTGTGTTCTGTTCCATTTCAGGAAGAAAGTTTCTATTTATCTTTGTGAAATGATGACAACAGCTGATCAACATAAGGAGGAATTCATTAATTTGTATACTGTCCCTTTAGTACATAAACAGTTTGGAAAATGTTGTTGGTCCCGTGCATGATTTCATATTGTAGAGCCAAAATACTGTCATTTCCTAAACACAACGTGGTTTTTTTTTTTTTTTTTTTTATCGCATAAGAAATGTTTTATGTGTACCAACAGAAGATTTTATGTGAGGGGTAATCTGATTATTTCTTAATTTAGACCAGCATTTATATTAGCCAATCTCCTTAAATCTCTGTCTCAGCCTTTTAATTCATGGGACTGTAGAGAAGAAAAAAGGAACCGCACACTTGGCCTCAGCTCAGGCCTCTTGATCCGGCATGCAGAGAAAGGTCCTTGCCATTTTATTTTTAAAGTGAACAAGTTGGAGTTGAGACAAAGTGGTCCAGATATTTATAACATCCTTACCATTATTTTGTGAAAACTTGGATGAGTCTTCTCACATGTAACCTCTGAGATGAGTACTTTCTCTCTGCTAGTCCTGTGGCTGAGAGGATAGGCTCTGTGCTTCAACTGCCCGGCTTTGAATCTCAGTTCCAACACTCCCTAGCTGTAGGACCCAGCGTAAGGTATTTGTCTCATCTGTAAAATGGGAACAATAATACTATCTATCTTACAGGCTGCTGTGAAGATAATGGGTTAGGTATGTTAAAATTAGCACTCAAAATGTTAGCCATTTTGATGTTGATAATAATGATATTTGAAGGTTGAGTTTGACTTCGTTATAGGGTGCTGGGCCTTTTACATTCTGCTAGTTTCACTTCCAAACTGGAAGTCCTAGACTCATGTTCTTGCAGCAAGCAGTAATTCTAACCTGCCTACACCTTGGGACAGGGGCTGACATAAATAGTTCCAGGTTTCCTAAACTCCCCACTCCCCTTCTTCTCTCATTCCTGGCATGTTGGAAATGGCTGGTGCCCCACTGGGTACACAGCTGTGAAATCTCCTCTTCACTGGGCCAGTGGTGTGGCCCACTTTTGAGGGACATAGACAGCAGCTCTGTTATCCTGAGGAAGGAGTAGAGATAGATTGCTAGTGCTTTCTGAGAGCACAAAGAAGACAATCGGTTGGGATAGCTCATTAATAATCACTTTACAGTGGTTATGTTTTGAAGTGATGATATTTTGGGTTATTTGGGGTTAAATAAAATCTATTGATGAATTTCTACCGTTTGTTTTTACTTTTTTGCTATTTGGCTAATAGAACTTTACAAATTCCATATGTGGTGCAAGTGAATTTCTATTAGACTGCATGCATTCTGCTGGAGGAACAGGAGACCTTCTGAATGCGGCCCCAGGTCTTTGCCTTGACTAATAGTGTCCCGGTTAGGATCCATGGAAATGATTCTTGCCTTGTATGGGAGATTGGTGTAGGCCATTTTGACCACAATTTTAGTGTGGGTCAAGTAGACTAAAAGGACATGAGGGGAAAGTACTCCCTCCCTCAGGGCGCATGGCAAGCATTCTGAAATAGCAGAATGTATGCACCAAACAAGAGCTGTGATTTTTAAATCATCAGATAAGCCCTTCATGAAATAACTTAAATCAGGATACTGTAGCGTTTCATAAGGTTTCAAGTGCTATGTAAATGAAAGATTCTAACAAGTACCAATAATCTATTGACAAAGCAACTTAGTCAATGGTCAATGTAAATTTCCTTATTCAAAGACAGCTTGAGGGGTGCCTGGGTGGCTCAGACAGTTGAGCACCAACTCTTGACTTCGGCTCAGCTCAGGTCATGATCTCAGGTCATGGGATTGAGGTCTGCATCAGGTTCTGTGCTGAGCATGGAGCCTGCTTGAGATTCTCTGCCATTCCTCTCTCTCTGTTCCTCCCCGAACTTTCTCTCTTTCTCTTGAAAATTAAAATAAATACAATTAGGAGAAAAAAAAGAAAACTTGATACTTCCCTTTTAAGGTACAGTTCAAATACCTGTTTGGGAATAATGTGTCATATTAGCTCCGCGGCGAGAATCAGCGTGTCTGGCTTTATGTTCTCTTTAGGCTTTTCCCCTGTTCTTTGAGCATCTTTGCCATGCATACAAGCGAAAGCAAACCTGGATAATATTTGCTGAGAGTGTCAATGCCACTATCATCAAGTGCCCTTATACTCCTCAGCTGGTGTCCCCAAGCGATAAACAGGCAATCTAAATAAAAACACAGCTTAAAGCAAATCTCCTATTCCCTGCTCCTTCTAACCAGACTTCTAGCTCTAAGCCCCTTCCATCTGGCAACTCTGGAGCTGCCTCTGGCTTACTAGTAAATAAAGGGGAAAAATACATTTTCATAGGAATGTGTGTGAGTGTGTACACAGAGGGACATGAAAATCAACATAGAGCAATACCCAAGTTCTCTTGATAAAAAGCAAATTTACTTGAAAACAGAGGAACCTGTTGAAAATCACTACCTTTGTGTTTTATACTATTTATATATATATGCAGTGGATTAGTCATGATCAGAGGAGAGACCTTTTCCTCCTGCTTTCTTCCTCTAAAGGGCTTAGGGAATAACAATCCTTTTCACAAGCCTGTGGTCCCCACTGGGCCCATTCCCAAGGTATTTAATTGGCCGGGGGAGAGGGCATTTATATATATATATATATATATATATATATATATATATACACACACACACACACACACACTCAAAGATCACAGATGAAACTCCAAGAACTGACCTCCCAATTCTCACCAGGCCAAGACCAACACTGCCCAACTCAGAAAGGGTTTATAGCCTCTAAGTTGTATTCTAAGTTGTTTAGTGGAACTAGAAATGCTTTCTCTGATACACGTTCTGTATCTTAGACCCGACCCCAAAAACAGGTGATATAATTCCCAATATGCCATCAAAAATTTCTACTAGTAAAACAAAAGAAACGCATAAAAGCCATGTCGGTTTCTACAACACAGCCTTTCTGTTGCATAAACGCACAAACTCCCTGGTTCAGGGTGGAATGGAAGCTTGCAGGCTCCCACGGTGCTACTTCATTTTGTGAGAGGGTACCTTCGTGTAACTTATTGATTCAGACCAGCTTCTGCCCCAACAGAGAATGGTGTAGAGTGAGCGCACAACGGGGACCAGGCAGAAGAGAACATAGCTATGAATCCAAGTTCACGTAGGGGAAAAGGTGTCCTTCTCCACCCCAGAGGATGAGTGCATGAAAGTAATCAAAAGCTGTGATGGAGGCGGGAAGTAAAGCTACTTCTCTAGCTTCAACAGGTCAGACCTGCTAATGGTAGGCACTATCCATCTCTTTCTTTTCTCCAAGACAGTGCCAGGTAGGAGTCATGGCCAACTGCTTACACCCTTCAGGGTAAACCTTATTCTTTTTTTGAAACTTTTTTTTTTAATCTTTATTTTTGAGAGAAAGGGAGAGAGACATAGAGTGCAAGTGAGGAAGGGACAGAGAGAAAAAGAGACACAGAATCTGAAGCAGGCTCCAGGCTCTGAGCTGTCAGCACAAAGCCCGATGTGTGGCTCGAACCCACAAACCGTGAGATCATGACCTGAGTGGAAATCAGAGACTTAAGCAAGTGAGCCACCCAAGTGCCCCTCGGGCTTGTTTTTCTGAAGACTGAGAAGTGGCACTACCAAAACTCCAGTCCCCAGTTCCTGGTAAGAGGTCAGCACATGCTCAGACACATCCCAGACTCCGCTACCTGTTACATCAGAGGAGGCTCAGACTCACAGCATTACAGAGCTAACTGCTAAGCCTGCACCAAACCAGGACAGCAGCCAACCCCAAACCTAGGCTCCGGTCTTCAGTTCCCCAGGCAGCCTCTGGCCTGCTGGATCAGGGCACATGCTGGACATGCCTAACTCTCCCAACTCTGAGATGGACCAGCCATTCCGTGTGTGGCTCTGTGCTCATAAAGTGCATGACTGTAAACTGAAGGACACCTGTAGATATTTCTGATAGTGAAATGAAAAGGACACTTTGTAAGAGGGCACAAATGCCTTCTTTAGAGGGACTGCAAAAGCTTAGCAAGGGGTTTCTCCAAGCAACCAACTTGTCGTTTCATTAGCATCATGGACATATCATGATGCCCACATTTTTTCATGGCCACAAAGCATTACACTCCCAATATGTTAACTGGGAAACTTGTAAACTGTTTGCTGAACTTTTAGGACAAGTCATGAATGCTCTGAATTTATTAGCAGGGACCCTCCTCATCTGGGACCATTCTCAGTGGCAGCTGGAATGCTGTGGGTTGGGCACCACATTGTGTGTTGGGAGAAGCAGAAGTCAAAGCACAGAGAGCTCGGACCCTAGGTCTGGGGTACAGGAAGGTGACCTGCAGCGGAGGGAAATCAGGTTGTAACTGACACCAGTCGAAAGGTGGAAGGGGTTGCCTCCTCCTCAGGCACCAAGCCAGACTAGCAGAGGCGTACAGGGGCTTTTAACCCTAGAACGGGGCGTCTGGGCTGGCTTAGTGGAGAGTCAAGCCTCCCTTTGAGGGGACTGTTTTAGGGAAGTGGGGTCAAGGTGAGAAGCCAGAGGAGAAGGCTCTAGGCGTCCCCAGGACCTATTTTTACAAGTTACAAAGGTGAGTGAGAAGGCTGCCCAGAGCTGGGCTACGGAAACAAAGTGAGTTAACTTACTGTGAAAGGCAAGGAGCACACAGCAAAGGTGATGGTCATAATAGCCAGGAGAATGAGGTGGTCTGTCTCCTCGGCCATGGACACCCTTTCCCCTCGCCTGCGGGGCCCAGGGGCGTCCCGGCAGCTGCCCAAGGAGGGCCCGCAGCGACTTCTGCTGCTCCGACGGTGCATGCGGATGAGGTTGAGGATGACGCTGAAGTTGCAGGCGAGCACTGCGACGATGAGGAGCAGCAGCAGGGTGGCGTACAACTGCAGGTACGTCGTCTGGCCGTGCTCGATGAAGCACCACGTCCCCGGGCAGTACTGGACGTACTGCCCATAGTTCATTAACGGCAGCGAGCAAAAGAGTAGGGAGACCACGTAGATGGTGGGAAGCACTGCCAGGCCGCTCCGGCGCGTGACACGGCGCTGGTAGAAATAAGGGTGCCCGATGGATAGGTAGCGCTCCAAGGCCATGGCGAAAAGCATGAGCATCGTGGCTAGGCTGAAGAAGGTCATGGCGAAGGCGAAGTAGGTGCACGCGCGGCTCTCAGGCGCCAGCGCCACCAGGGTCCGGTTCCGAGCGTAGGAAGCCAGCACCACCGGGCTGATGAAGCAGGTCCCGAGCAGGTCGGTGAACACCAGCTCCGTCACCAGCACGTGGAACAGGGAGACCGAGTTCCCGCGTCCCGCGCCGCGTCCCGCGTCCCCCCGCCAGCGGCGCGCCAGCAGAGCCAGAGCTATGAGGTTCCCCAGCACCCCGGCCGAGAACATCACCGAGCTGATGGCCGGGCTTTCGCCGGAGGGGAGCCACTGCCGAGACCCGCAGTCCTCCGGCCAGGAGTCATTGGAGATATTGCCCATGGTGGAGCGCCGGCAGGCGAGACGCGCCCTCCTCTCCCGGCTCGTACCTGGGAGGAGGAGGGTCTGAGAGCCGCAGTGCTCGGGCACGCAGAGGGAGAGGGGGAGGGATCCAAGTCCAGAGCCCCCTTCCGGCCCCCAGTGCGCCCAGGGCAGGCTCGGCCCCAGGGCTCGCGTCGCTCCGGGAGAGGCCAATAGGCAGCAGCATCCGGGCGGCGCTCAGGGCTCCTCTGCCCATCCGCGCTCCCCTCGGACGGGACCCCGCACCTGGGGGACAGCCGCCGCCACTCCGCACCCGCCTGGGGCTGGACTCCGCCCGCAAGCCGCCCCAGCGGTGGGACGCACGTCAAACCAAGTCGGGGTACTGCGAGTCCTCAGCGGGGAGCGGGGAGGAGAGGGACCCGAAGGCCGGCCCGGCCCGCGGGCGCTGGGCTGGAGCTGCGGTGTGTGACCCGCTCCCGCCCGAACCCCGGGGAGTGGGTGCTGGAAGCCGCGCGGCCGCCAACCTCGGCTAGGAAGTGTGGAGCCCAGGCGGAGGGCTGGGGGCGAGCGTGGGGCGCCTGCGGGGTGCGCGCAGAATTCACGGAAGGCGACAACGGGAAAGCAAAAGTGACTCACCAGTCAATGGGGAAGTTAGTGGGACCCGGCCTGGGACGTGTGCATAAGAAGGGAACAACAGCCACTAAAGACAGCTTGCAGTTAGACCGATATGTTCGTTTTCTTTTCTTTTCTTTTCTTTTCTTTTCAACACTCTCAGGAAGATAAGCTAAGGGGGCGGGATCAACATTGGGAGGAAGTTAAAAGCACGCCTGGTGGTCGGAGGAACCGAACCAGGCGCGCCGCTGAGCTGCGCGCTTTGGCTTTGATTGGGCTGCCAGCCTTTCTCCTTTCCCTATGTCAACACCAGAATGGCTAACCACTGGTTTCAGCGAGCAAGCAAAAATGAAAAGAAAAAAGAGAAAGAAATGTTCCTGGCGTGTGGAATTGTGTTTGTGAACCAGCTGGAAAGCATTGCACGTGGTTCTCTCCTCAAGAACAAGCCCCGAGAGAAAGTGTTGCTCAGGATTATTTTCTTTTTTCATGTTAGCTGTGCAGAGCACATCTGGAAAGACCCATTCCTGGTAAAGTTTATTAGTGAGTGGCCAGTTTTAGGAAGTAGAGCTGACAAAAGTGTCACCATTGCAGGCTCCTGAAAACGGGCTGGTGTTTAAAACAACAAAAAAATCCAGTTTGATGGAGGGAAGGGGGGTTAGGGGTAGTTCTGTTCTGTAAGGAAGATCATAGTCACTTGGAGAAGGGAAGAAAACTGGGAAGTGGAAGGATCTGCATAGGGAACAGGCAAGGAGAAACAGTCATCATGATGGAAGAAAGAAAAGATTACCTGTTGAAGAATACATCTTACCACACAGCCTGCTTGCTCGCCATGAATATTTTCATTCACCTTGATACTTGGTCTGGGAATTGGAATGGAGATGAGGCTCCCAAAAGGACAAGTTCACAGGGAGTCTATTTTTCTCAAATAAGGAGTTCGGCAGTCACAGGCGGGTGGGCCTCCCAGGACTGACCTCCTTCTGTTCTCCACCCCTTCATTCCTAGCATGCTGGCTTTCAGTATGGTGTTCTTTCCCCATGCAGTCACCAGTCAGGATTCAGCCAGAGAAACAAACCACTATAAGTGATGAAGAATGACAGATTTATGGTTAGGCACCAGATCTGTGCTGCTCAATATAGTAGCCACTAGCCACTTGTGATGATTTAAGTGAATTAAAATTAAGAGTAAAAATGTAGTTTCTCTGTCGCACTAAGTACACTTGAAATGCTCAATAGCCACATGCATCTGACCAGTGGCTATCATATTGGGCAGCTCGTATACAAAACACTTCCATCCTCACAGAAGATGATGTTCTTTGGAGAGTGAGGCATTAGACCTTACATGATTGTGGGAGCTCACGGAGAAGTCTATTCAAAGATGTTTGCTGTCTTTGGTTCTAGTGTCGATTGTGAAGTCACCGAGATCAGACAGAATGGCAGTCAGGGTAGAAAGCTAGATGTGGACAAAAGCAAGTACAGGCTTGGAACCTGCATGGACAAACTGGAATTCATGAAAAACTAGAATCCTCCAAGGCAGACTGGATTTGTGTGTGTCTCTCACTACCTCTGACCTTGATAACACGGTGTGCTGCAGGAGAAGCTGGCGCCCTTCCTGGGGCTGCACATGCATTTAGCTTAGGATGTGGAGAAGCTGAAGGAGGAGATCTGACCAGCAAGGCGACAGATCAGTGACAATGCACTAGTCACCACTGTGCCTGGGGCCCTGCGTTGTCCTTCAGAGCATGAAAATCACAGCTGCTGCTTCACCACTGCTCTCTCAATCACATTCAACACTTTTCTTGTGGCTAATGCTAATCTTGAAACCATGCAGAATTCTGGAGAACAGATGCTGCTCAGCTGAGTTGACCCGGGATAAAGCTACCACACTGCATGCATTGAAAGTGAAGGGTGAGAAAGAGGCAGCTCCTGTGTGCCTGTTTCTTTCATTGGGAAAGCTAGTTTTCTAGAAGCACCTCAACAGACTTCCCTTTGTGTCTGTTTAGCCAGAACTTGGTAAATTGGCCACTCTTTAGCTCCAAAGGAGGCTGAGACAGGGGGTATTGGGCATTTTCCAGCATTTTCTAGAGTAGAGGCAGGCAGGGGAGAACAGGCTGGGCATGGTATTGGGTTAGTCAGCCAACAGTGTCTGCCATTGTACATAGTGCATTCCCTACCATTCCCTCTGTGGAGCCTGAAAGGAAGGGCAAGAATATCCATTCCAAGTTGCACCCATTGCATCTGAAGAAAGTGAGGCACAGAAAAATGGATACTCTTACCCAAGGATATACAAAGTTGGTGCAGTGCTAGGAGTATGGAAGGCAGACCACCTCAATTACATTACAGACCCCTGCATATTGCACACATTGTCCATTTAAAGCCACAAAGGAGCACATGACAAGATATCTGTCCTCAATGCCACATTAGAGCTCACTGGCAAATCACCCAACACAATTTAGATGTTACTTTTTGCCTGACATATTGGTGAAGTTTGAAAAGATTACACATATCCAGTATGCCAAAAGAGAGAAAGAGACAGAGACACAGAGAGAGAGAGAGAGAGACAGATACAGCGATATAGAGAGAGAGAAATGGGCTCACTATTGGTAGAAGTGTGAGTGTGGGTACAGCCTTCTTGGTGAGAATGGTCTATTAATTATCACACATTTTGAATATGCTTCAGCCCAGAAATAATGTACTGCCTCAGGAGACATAATCTAACAAATACGCAAAGTTGTCATATACACACAGCAGAAATAATGTTCATTATTGCAAGAATCTAGAGGACTTCCATAGAGGACTTGCTTAATAAATTTTGATATACCTATGCAATGGATTATATAGTTGTTAAAAAGGATGATCTGTATCTGTAGTTCTTGATAATGATCTTTACCACATACTGAGTTAAAAGCATGTATATTATTTGATTCATATAAAATTATATGCACAAGCATTTGCAAAGAGCAGCCTCTAGAAGGATGTTCAGCAAAATGTTAGTGGTAATTTCTCTGGGTAGTACATTCTTCTTTATGCCTGTCTGTTTTGACTGATTTTTCTATAAATATGTATTAACTTTATATTAGGAACTGCAAGGAAGCTGCTTTTTGTTTAGAAAAAAAATCACTGGAGGAGACTGTCCTTTCTACTTGGCAGAAAGCAGGGAGTTAGATGCTAATGTTTTAAATTATCTCCCAGTTCTACTGTTTAATGAGTGGGGAGGTCTTGCTAATTGTTTGAAGCTGATCAGGAAGATGAGAGATGTATCCTTATATGTTTCACGAGGGTTTTTGCAACTGTACTTATTTGATGATTGGAAATAAACACGCACTTCACACCATTTCTAATGAGATGGTGCCCTGCCTACTTCAAGTGACTGCTCTGACATTAGATTTTTGTCATCCCTTAACACAATTCTAATACTATCACCACCAGGAAGTCCCTGTCTTACAAAGGTGGAAACAAAATGTCAACCAAAGGGTCAAAACAAACAAACAAACAAACAAATATCCAAAACACAGTTAATAAAAATTAACTTTGAGATAGGTTCAAAAAAAATTAAAGGTAACTATGAGTGGGCAGGTAGAATCTTAGTGGAGAAGTAGAAACTATTAAAAAAAAAGGAATGGAAATTCTAGAACTGAAACTTACAGCAGCTTGCAGTTGACAGAAGAAAGAGTGAACTTAAAGACTAATCACATCTGGTCACCTTTCTTTCCGCATTATCATTACTTTTGTGCTCACTGGAAATATTCTCACTCTTTCCATACCATTCGAGGCTTTTCCTGTTTTTACCTATGAAGAGAAGCATGGGTTTTCTGTGCTCTCAGATCCCTCAAACCTCTCTGGGATCTGGGGTGCAGAGCCACAGTATGTAGGAAACTCTGGTGTTGACATCTAAGCTAACTCTTGTTCTCTTGAACTTCACCTTCTCTCTTTCACAGCTTGTGGACCCCAGTGGGGAAAAAGTAGGACAACTTTGCTCTTCCTCATCTCCTCTGACCTAGTCTCCTCTACCCCTAGTCTTTCAAAAGTCCTAAGCCAAACATTGGCACCTGTGTTCTGTTACATTGTTCTTTCTTTGAGGCAGTCAGCATAGCACACCCTAGCTGCTGCTAAAGCTAGGAAAAGGGCTCATGTATCAGCAAGTACTGGGCAAAAAAAATTCACAGGTTAATATGTCATATTATAGCATTTACATTCACGTAGGTGTGTGTATATCCAAGGCTTGGTGGAACTTATTAAAACCTCATAGGATTGTTTGAGAAATAATTTGATAAAGTCTTTGTAAAACCTGAGTCAATACAAAGTGCTTTACAATCCGACGTAGGAGTACAACAGTTCTCTTGTCCTTAGAGGGGAAATATCAGGGCTGCTTATTAGTTCTAGGAGTTAGATCAAATGAGTCACCCCAATAATGTCAGGAAGGTAGATTGCCCATGATTCTAATTTCTTGTCTAAGATTGATAGAGAACAAAGAATCCAATATAGTAATGAAAATTCTCTTTTCTGAGAAAGGTTTCCTTCCAAGGACAAAACCCACTATTGGGCAGAAAAGTACACATAATACAAGAGTAAGGCTATAGTTATTCAATTTGTTTGTATAAAGTAACAACTCAGTACAGAAATTTTGGAAAAATTAGAAGGAAGAAAAAAGTCACCTATGAATGTGTACTCATCGAAAATGGCCACTCTTAACATTTTTAGGTGTTTCTTCCGTTTTTTCTTCTACGCACTTTTTGTTTTCATAGCTCTGATAATATTATATCTAAACTTTTCTATACTGTTTTTTAAAAACACTTAAAAGTAGGGGCGCCTGGGTGACTCAGTCATTTAAGCGTTTGACTTCAGCTCAGGTCGTGATCTCATGTTTGTGGGTTTGAATCCCACATCAGGTTCTGTGCTGACAGCTCAGAGCGTGGAGCCTGATTCAAATTCTGTCTCTGTCTCTGTCTCTCTCTTTGCCCCTCACCTGCTCGTGCTCTCTCTCTCAAATTAAATAAATACACATTTAAAATTTTTTAAAAATGTAAAGGTATATTGAATATCTTATATTACAATATGCATTAAAGGCCTTAAAAATGTGCATGTGCTGAGATCCAGAAATTGCACTTTTAGAGATCCATAATCCACTTATTTATTCATTCAACAACAATTATTAAGGTGTATATTTGCTGAGGCGGCACAATATAGTCTTAAGTGGAAGGGTTCTAGAGACTGTTTTGGTTTTAAGTTTTTATTTAAATTTCAGTCAGTTAACATATAGTGTTACTTTAGTTTCAGGTGCAATATAGTGATTCAACACTTCCATACAGCAGTCGGTGCTCATCACAAGTGCACCCCTTAATCCCCATCCCCTATTTAACCCATCCTCCCCTCCCTCCCCACCCTGGTAAACATAACTTTGTGCTTTATAGTTAAAAGTCTGTTTCCTGGTTTCTCTCTCTCTCCCCCTGCTTTGATCATTTGTTTTGTTTCTTAAATTCCATATATGAGTGACATCATATCATGTTTGTCTTTCTCTGTCTGACTTATTTCACTTAGCATTAATACCCTCTAGTAGATCTATCCATGCCATTGCAAATGATAAGATTTCATTCTTTTTTACAGCTGTATAATATTCCACTGTGATTCCCCCCCCCCCACCCCCACCACATCTTCTTTATCCATTCATCAGTCGATAGACATTTGGGCTGTTTCCATAACTTAGCTATTGTAGGTAATGCTGCTATAAACATTGGGGTGCGTGTATCCCTTTGAGTTAGTATTTTTGCATCCTGTGGATACATAGCTAGTAGTGTGATTGCTGGGTCATAGGGTAGTTCTATTTTTAACTTTTTGAAGAACTTCCATACTGTTTTCCAGAGTGACTGTGCCAGTTTGCGTTCCCACCAACAGTGAAGAGGGTTCCCCTTTCTCTGCATCCTCCCTTAACATCTATTGTTTCCTGTGTTGTTAATTTTAGCTATTCTGACTGGTGTGAGGTGATTATCTCATTGTTTTGATTTGCATTTCTCTGATGATGAGTGATGTTGAGCATCTTTTCCTGAGTCTGTTGGTCATCTGGATGTCTTCTTTGGCAAA